CCCATCGCGTTACGGCCAAAAGCTATGGCAAAGCACCCGCGAGAAGGCTCCTCTGCTGCTAACGGGAACGGGAATTTTGTCTCCGGCTCCAATGACAGCTTTTCTATACACAGAGCAAACTGGTACCGATGGGAAAAGTATATTCTGCACAAGGGATAACATCGTAACTAAATATTGTATTTTAATATTATTTCTAACAATCCGGAGAAACCTGGCGCTCAGACCTAGGTCCTGCCAGACTGAGAAGTCTCACCATTATCCCGGAGAAGGATGGGGAGGAGGGTTTATTGCGCCATATTTCTTTCCTATATTTGTTACGTTTGTACTGTTTGCTCCCCAAAGTATCGCCAACATATGCCAAATGTGGCACAAAACATACTCTTGCCCTCTCATTTTCATACTTTTACAGCACTTATTACAAAATTCTATTAAAAATGTATATAAAGTTGTCTCTGCTTCCTGTTCAATGGATCTGTTACATTCCAGCAACTATAATGTTCTACCCTTTCTTGGAAACTTGTAGAAGAATCAAGACTGTTTAAAAAAAAAAAAGTAAAAAATTCAAATTTAGTTTTGTTTTACCTAAACAGTTAGAGAATTTGTAAAAAAAAAACGTTCTTCAGATGTGAACACTGAACTTGCTTGTGACTCAGGATGCTCCATAAATAGAACACACATCGATGCTGTATTTCAGCAGATGCAAATCATCTCCCTCTTTCATTATGCTGGGTCAGCGTCACGCCAAGATTTTTCAGTTTTCACAGGACTTTCCTGCTTGCTCTTTTAAAGGAGAAATCAAGAACCCATGCTTATGCTATCTTTAGTTAGGACCTATATTTAATCTAGAATTAAATAAAAAGAGTAAGGAGTTAATTCCAGGTAGCTAGAAAAGTTGAGGGATTTTTAGTCAGGCTGTTCAAAGCCAGGGGTTTTTTTCCCCTTTTCTTTCCAACATCTTATTTTAATGAGAACTTCACCTTCTGAAGAAAGATCATCTCAAAAGATTCAAGTACTCCACCCTCTTCAATTAGCATCTTGCTCATAAGAAAATTGGTTCTGAACTTTCCAGCAGATTATCTTCCCTGGTTTTGTTGAAGGAATGACATTTCTGAAGGAAAAAAACCTTCAGACTTGAGGAAAAAAGTAACAGTCACGAGGAGAGAAACACCCACTTGGAATATTAAAAGCATGTTTGCAGGCCATATTTAGAGCAGGCTAATCTTTATGCTACAGGAAATAATAGCATCCTTCTGCGTATTTCAAAGTGTGCAACTATTTAATCCATTCAATGCATTTTCCCACCGGTATAAACATACTAATTGTTTCCTTCTTTGAAAATGGCATTTGCAAAAGATAATTCAATGAAACGTAGCAGCCCAGGTCTCACTTTTAAACTGCTGGGACGTCTGCGTTGCCATAGGACACAGCCATTGCGTGATTCCAGTTTGCTGAGATACTGATAGCAACCTAACCAACCTAACGCAGCGCAGCATCCGCCCATGTACCTGCTTCTCGGCTGCAGCAGAAGGAACTGCAGGGCAGACATAACCCATCCGATTATTATAAGCAGCTTTGCCAAGACGGTCTCTTCACTCTGCCTTCACTCTTCTGGTGTTTGACGAATGCGTTATAGATCCTTTTTCCTCTTAACTAAAAGATCACCTGCAACCTCAGACTCGTTTGTGCATGGGAAGGCCCAGGTACTTGTTAAAGCCTTTGGAACAATTTTCTTCCATTAAGAAGACACAGGAGTACCAATGTGTACTTTGATAGTTTGTTTTCATTAGTATAATTACAATACATTCTGGACAGTTACAAAATCCAGGGAATCACGTTTTCTCCATAAATTTCTACTGCAAACTTCAAATATTTGGGTGCCTTTCCATTACTTCTGCACGCTTTTCCTATAATCTTAGTAAGGACACCCAGTACAGCAACCCTTTTTTGTGGTGGGGTTTTTTGTTGTTGTTGTTGTTGTTTCAGCAGCTTTTAGTTCTGCTTTGTGCCTCAGGCTTTGACGTCCACCTTGAATGCTGGTTTAGCTGCTTAGTTAAAAGCCTGCAGCTAGTCTCTCTCACGTTACACCAATTCGACAGAGCGCATTTCCAGTGGGACAGTTTAGAAAAGGTATATATGCAAAATGATTTCCGGGTCACTGAAAGCAATAGCATTTAGCGCATTTCTAAAGTCAAATCCTGCTCTAGATCAGAAGGAATTCCAACAAAGTCAGTCAAGTATTTAAACTTTCAATTTAGGAGGAGAATTTGGCTCCACATAAACTGATAGCATTGTTCAAAGGTAGCAGCTTTCGCAACAAAAAATACTGCCCTTATTATGAGCCACTTGGCATTCTCAAACACAAGAAACATTCTCCTGCATAGCACCAGTAAAACACAAACACATCAGCTACCAAACCTAAAAATAACCCACTAAAATCAACCCACTTTTGATAAATTTTAAGTACATTGTACTTAGCTGCTTCAAAACCCCTCTTTGCATCAGCAGGTGTGGCTGCCGCTGGTTTCCACGTACAGGCCACTGAGTTACACAATATTGTATGTAGGAGCCGGACAGTACGTGTGCTCTTTTCTAGGAAATCAGTCCTGCAACGTTCTGGTCCAGAGAAATGCATACCCTACCTCTTCTGCCCCGGGACAAGTGATACGGATCTGACCACAGCAGCATACTGCAAACTAGCAAAGCATTGAAATAGTTGGCAAAAGTGTTGAAAGGCACATAGCTCGTCCTCAGCAATATTTCCCTGTTCCATTTGTGGTGCCCATTGAGGGATTAGTGTTGGGACCTAGCTAGAAATAAAAAATAGTAAGAAAATGGAAGCCTCCCAGGAAAAAAAAAAATTAGGTTGTCTTTTTTTTTTTTTTTTTTTTTTTACCTTTAAGATTTTACTATTCCATGTTTTCCTCTACCTTTCAAGTGAAAATTAAGGAAGCTATGGACGCATGTTAACCATACCTATGCTGTAAACTGTTGCAAGTACTAAAAGCAATGCTTATAATGGTCTGTACAGCATTTGCAAATACTTACTTCGAAAAGAGATTAGTGTAGTTCTTAGTTTTCTCAGCATTGCTTAGAAACGCTAAAGAACTACAACAGCTAACTGCTACTCTACATCAGATCAATATACCCCGACAGATATTTAGGAATATATGCCATTATATTTAAAAATACCAAGTTCCTCTAAGCTGGTAAACCTAGAAGATTTTACATAGTTAGAGATAAAATATTAAAAATTCTTGTTTCAACTCCACACACTTGACATCTGAATAGGAGGGATGTAATCATACTATTTATTCCATCAGTGAGACAAAATGCTGTATGGAACTAAATTTCTGAGATTTTAAATAGAAAGTCATTTAACTCGTATATACACAAAGTGTTCTTTCCACAGATATTTACATGGCAAATATGTTAGAGTAGAACCACTATGACTAAGTCTCTACGAGTATAGCATCCTTTCTGAGCTATTCTCTCTGCTGAAAGAATTCACAGAAGCTTTGAAGTAAAATCTAGACAATTAAAGTTACCTATATTTCACAGTAGGTAAAGAAGCCATTAAATGATATTTCAGCATAAGGTTTCTGGAAACAGCTACACAGTAGAGTTTTACATCCACCCCTCTTTTCCAGCATTCATGGTGAAACTAAATCTCTTCTTAATTTACAAGAGAGATAACGGCATACATAAAGATGTACGTGTATAATTGTAGTTCATCCTCCTCGATAGAGGCTGGTCAGCCGTTCAAGTTCTTTGCAGTTGTCCATGGACATGGACTCTGCTTTCTTTCGGAGACGGTCATCTCGATATATTTTTGCTCCATAAAGTAAGTCTGTTTCTTCAAGGGAAAAAGAGAAAAGATTTTTCAGGTTAAAAACTGAATACTTTGCACGTGATACATTCCTTCTCAGAGCTGTCCAAAACACCTCAAATTTAATCCTCACCTTTTCCTTCTGTCTATTCGTACTACCCACAGACACTACCAAAACAGCATTTCATCTTTTTGAGCAGCGAACGTGGTAACAGCCTTCCAGCACCCTCGTGTTTCATACAGCAGTATCGGATTAAAAAACAAACTACGCCCCCCCTCCCTTCCATCAGACCTCATTAAACAATACATATATAGGCCACACTTGGTGATCTTGCATATTATTGACAGCTCCAGCATCTTGTCTGTGCCCAAAAATCCATCCTGAATGTTAAGCCCATTACTTCAACTGACGCTGCTTCAGGCTGCCAGTGTTCAGAGGCATTAATAAAAGAGCTCCCTGTATTATACTGGCGTTCAATAGCTTGACATTGTTTTAATTCTATAAAATCTTTTTCAGTCCTTCAACTCAAAATGGATTAGCAAGGCATTCTTAAATGCCAATCAACACTGGAAAGATTTTAACTGTCAAGGAGATCCAACACACAACAGGTATTTTAAATCCGTAAACCCACAAAATCAGCTGTTTCTATAAATAGAGAAAACCTGTTAGAGGCCACTTTCTCAAAATCAATTTGGGTAGTTTTCACAACTTGATAAATTGCAAATAGCAAGCAACATGACAATCACCACCTTCAGGTAATTTCTCATCTTTATACTAGGGTCAGATGTTTCTCTAGTCATCACATTTTTCCCAGTAAATATGTACATACAGAATCATGGGCCTCCTTGCAGCGTCCAGGACTCTGTTCATGCTTTAAAAAGTAAGCATGTCAAGAATAAATGCTAAAAAATGGGAAAGGTATTCTTTCTCCTCTTTCTCTCCCCAAGTGGAAACTGCATATCAACAAAACCTTTTCAAAGATATTTAGACAGTAAACATATCACAGGAGACACAAATATAAGATGCCAGTAAATCTAAGTGTAAAGACTGGGTCAATAAAAACAAACTATCCTTCCAGATCTTCAATCCGCTGAAAAAAATGTACAAATAATATGTGCTCTTTTTATTGTGCATGAGCATATCTTGTCTTAATTTTTTTGTTAACAACCATGTATCGTTTTTGTAAACTATTTTATTATAAGATCACCAATCATTCATCTAGCCACCACCTGTAGATTAAACATTAAGTATTCATTTCATGAAGAGTGAACATAATCAAATGTTTTAAGATGATCAAAGGACAACCTAGTTGGAAAAATACAGGAGGTTTTATATTTGCTTATGAATTATACCCTAAAATTCTCTGACGCTTTCCTCTATTTGAAAAATTCGGGAAAAATTATTCTGATCTAATCTAGTTCTCTGGGCAATAATCTGAAAGTTTCCCCCCAAAGTACTGGTATTTCTCTTGCATACACATGACCCATCAGCACAGTTTTCTGCCCACAGGTCTCTCCTGGGGGCAATTTGTAAAACTGTAGAGATTTACTTGCGCACAAGCAACGCGTACTCACGAGTAAGGAGCGTAACGCCTCCAGGAAGCGTTAGGCCTGCTGTGCACGGGCAATGCGGTTTGTATTTATGTATGTACAGGCCAACTGTAATGACTGTGCACGGTCCTGTTCAGGCGTTTGACTAGCTGTGATCCCAGGCTGTCATCTACAACTGGGAGAAACTAAGGGGCCACCTCAGCTGGAAGGCGAAGAGTTGCACAGGAACACACGATTTCACTCAGAGAACAGCATTCTGTTTGCTTCTGGTCAGTTTACTGACAGTTCATGAACAAATTATTTATACAGTAAGATATTCATGAAGTTTACCAGCTGAAGAGTTGAAACCATCTGGTTTCAACAGTGATGTCATTTTAGCAGCGCTGTTCTCACAGAGCATGAAAGGCTCATGAAATGGTCACAGATATAGAATAACAGGTTAAAATTGCTGATGATTTGGAGATGGCTGATGCTATTCAGTATTCTTATGCTTTAACACTGAATTCTAGGCGCCTGCAAGAAAATAGCTCCTTATATAATATTAAATTAGATTGGAAAAATAGACAGTAGACTAAAAAAACCTCCTGTTTTTAAGGTCTGATATAGCCAAGGTATCAAGTCTGGCACTGGCAAAAGATTAAGCCCTGATTTACAATTTATGACGTTTTACACGACATGCTGTGTGTCCTTGGTTGCCTGGAAAAGTAATGTTTGTATGTACTGAGGTCCAAGGCAGATTATTTTTTCCTTCTCCAGAAACACCAATGCAAGCTTTTGTTTTATTTATTTAATTATATAAAAGCATGTAGGGAATTGAGCTATTGCTCAATAAATAAAATAACGTGGAAGAGATTAGAATTTTTAGCTTTCATCCTTAACTTAGAGCAATTTCTTTCTCATTATGAATTCACTGTACACTTTAATTTTCTGAGAAGCGGTCACGGATAACAGAGTAGCAGGTTAAAATTGCTGATGATACGGAGATTGTTGTTAGGTCGCTGAGTAAAACACAGAAATTAAGTGACACTAGCTGGGACACTTTCAGAAGTGAGAAACAGTAGGGAGCCTTACACTTGCTTTCTCATTCAGGTATTTTAATAATACAAGCACTTCATTCTTGCCTGAGGCAATCTTTTTTTATACTAATGCATGCTTTCATGAAATTACACATATTACCAAACTTACTTTGTTGCCTCTCCTTCCAACAGTTATTACGAATGTTGGACACATAATCCTCTTCCACACTCTTTTCCACTTTCTGTAACGACACTCCTTTGTATTCATTTCTAAAGTCCTTGTTGACATAATAAACAACACCCAAGTTTTCTGTCTGCATTTTTATGGTCTGTCCTGTACTTCTGCAAAAAAGGAGGTGGGGGGAGAGAAAGACTAGATATTAATTTGATTATTTTCACACCACAAATACACTTTCAAAAAATATTGCTATTACAGAAGAATTTGCCATTTCAAGACAAGTTATGAAATGAATGGCTGTATAATCTGCCAGAGAAAAAAATTACTACGTTTACCTCCACATTAAACTCCTGATCCTTAAACACTTCATCTTGAAAAAAACCCAACACTTTAGTAAGACACTTGTTTCATACCTCTTAGCCAAAAAATAAGCTTTGGTAATAGAAAATTACATTCAAACTCAACACAAAGAAAAGCAGGTCACTATTCTGTAGCAGCCCAGTACAGACATCTCCATTTTAAAGTGTTTTCTCCCAGCCCGGACAAATCCATTTTCCTGCTGGCATTCTCTGGATTAAAAATCAAAGATTGTGCGCAAACATTTTGGCAGAGAAGTGTTTATAAGCATCACAACAGCTTAGTAGCAGAGGGGAAAACCATCACACTCCAGAAATAAAGAACAATAAAAAATAAGAGAAAAGAAACCTTTTTGTTGTGGGGCTGAGAGTTTTGCAAGGAACTAAGGACCTTTAAAACAGTTCTGGCAAGAGGGCTAAGTCTACTAGCTAGTTGCATGCTTGATGAAAGTCATTTATTTCTCTCAAGGAAAGAAGACATATATCCTACCATTCAAAACAGGTAGGTTTCACTATCAATCAGAACTGTCTGCAAGAAAGTGGAGATACACTATTTTACCATCATCTAGAATGAAGCAAAGAACAGACAATTTCCCCAGCCCTCATCTAGTTCAAAACATAAAGATGAGAAAGTTGCTTTCAAGCACTGCACTTGCCACAAGCACAGATAAGCCCTAAAAGAATAATGAGCCTCGGCAGGTTTCAGGATTTGGTTAAGTGTGTTGGGGATGCAAACTCCTTTGCAACACGCTACGTTGCATGGACCTGCCGCCTTATATTACAAGATCTCCTAAGCTCCACGTATTGCTAACCTCTTTTCTCCATTCCATTCTCACAGCATGTTCTTAGTACCTAACTTCCAAGTTTTGTTTTGCTTAATTTCTGCTTCTTCTATAATTTCCCTCCCTTTCCTCACTGTGGGAAATCAAGGAGCAACTAATGGAAGGCTCTCTAAAACGCTTCTAAGTGGGAGAGGGTGATTACAATATCCTCCCCTCTGTTTTAGGCTAATGTAATTGAGCGTTACTTACGATCTTGGGTATAAGGCGTAAGGAGGGTTAGATACCATCAACTGGCTCAACAAGGAGACAAGGATCAAGACAATAATAGGCATCAGCTGAATGAACATAGAGAAACCTCCCTAAGAAACAAAACAGATTCGAGTATTTCATAAATAGCATCAAGTAAACAGGTAAATTTGACAAGATTTCATCCTAAGCGTGATTTTCTGCTTTAAGCATTAAAAGCTGCTAGGAAAACTGTAACTACAAAGCTGCAAACTCTGTGACGTTATCTTAATTTTCCAATGCACAGACAATATTCACAGAGTGCTCAAGCTACAAGAGTTCATGGGTTAGCATGTAGCCACAAGCAATTACCAAATGAATGGCTGGATTCTGTTACATTGTATACCATGATTTAGTCTCATCTATACAGTGATATGTAATTATTCAGGACCATATATAATTCATATATATGAATGTTGAGCCTTAAGTGCTATTCTTACCTCAGCCCAAATAATTTTTGAAATGCAGACAAGGATTAGTGACAAGAATTAGTGGCATATTTAGGCTAATACTACCAGTCACTAGTAAGATCGTGACATACAACAATAGATTTACAAAACCAGGCTATTATCTTCTCAAATTCGCATGTCTATTTACCAGTCAGTAAGACTACCACCTGCCAAAGCTTTAAAACATGTAACCGGCAAGTACAAATCCTCCTCTACAGTACAGAGCTCCTGAACAATCACATCACTGAAAGTGACTACCAGCAAACTTCACAATCCACAGTTTAAAGTCAATGGTGCTTAAACATACATCACCCCTCTCTTCCTCCCTCTCATGTCCACTCTGACGGTGCTGATTAGGATGACTGTAGCCAGCACGACCATTGGAAAATGAATGTACACTACCTAAGGAAAGAAATACCCACATTTAAATCATGTTAAAAAAACTATTTAGAGGTCACTACAGAAGCAACAACGTAAAGCATTTAACATTATTGCACGACGACACATAAAATAACTCAACTATAAGATATTTTACAATTTCAAAGTTGTTTAAAATAAATGTTTTAAGTTCTAATACAACTGATTTGTTATTTCACGTACCACAGAATCACTACAGTAACCCTGAAGAACCGAACTCACATTTTTGGGATTTAGCAACACTCAGAGGAAAAATAAATTGTGATGCAGATTAAAGAGTTGGGGTCAGAGGCAGGTTGGAGTAATTTTACTGTTTTATGATGTAACAAACCCTAATGCCACTCTGGGCAGTAGCACTGTATTCTGATGACTATAGTGATGTATACAGATACCTGTTGGAAAGGCCCCTCCAAAAAACATGTTGAATAGATCCTCTGGAGTAATATCTGCCTCACAGCCTCTATGGAAGTTGAATCTACCGTTGCTAGGATGATTGCATGTTTGCTCTTCACTGCCTGTAAGGTCATACTGATTTCGTTTTTCTGGATTACTCAGCACAGCATACGCATTTCCGATTTCTGAAGCAAGGAATAAAAGACAACTCCCATAAATGAAAGGTAAGAGCTATTCCAGCATGAAAATTGCAGTTTCAAAGTCAAGAATAAGCAGCAAACGATGTCCTTTGTTGTATGTTACAAATCAACTATAGTAGAACACAGTCCAGAAACATCTCTACTTTTCTTAGCATAGCTTCCATAAAGTTTCCCACCAACGCTATTCAAAAGCCTTTTATCCTGTTGAACAAGGCAGAAGGCAGGAGAGCTTTGTTCCTTTTTCTAGGGGAACACCTACACCTGTGGAAATGTTCTCTCTCGCTGCAATTACAAAAAAAGCATCAAGCCTTACAATGAAAGCTTTGAAGTGGGGTAATTGCAAAGTTCAGTTTGCTCTAGCAGCCTAGCTTAAAAACATCATAGACTCAGAAGGTTTTCTTTGGTTTCATTTAATAAGCGGTGACTTCTTCAAATGCATCAATTTTATTGTCTACAAGAATGTGAATGTATTTTTTTATATGCTTCTTAAGATATTTTATGGATTACATTAATAACACAAAGTTTTGCACGATGTAACGTGAAGAGTACAACACGTGTGTGTTCCCCAGGTTGTCAATATGACCTCAATGTTTGGAGTGCCTGGCCTGGATGTTTGTCCCCATTCACGCTACATTATCACAAATGAACAACTTCAATTTTGACAGTAGAAAGGGAAAAACTGAGTTAGGTGTGCATGGAAAGAATCAGTGTAAAAAGACCACAAGCTCTGCTGACTTTAGAAGCTTTGACCTGAGCTACTGTGCATAGTCATACAGCTCTTGCAGACTGATGGAAAATTTCTGTTGGCAGTCGATGAACAATCTTTACTCAGTCGTATCTTTGTGAAACCCTTTCTGCTTTCCTTTCTTCTCTCTCCTCCAGGCCTCTCCAAAAAAAGGCACAGGTATTATGCTTTTCAGTGTTGAGAAGCTACCAGTCATCAAAAGTTCGTGAAAGGTGCAACACTATAACCTCAACACAGGCAAATAAGACTATAGCTTTGCATAATTAATGTTTTCAACATTATCCAATCTAAAGAAAAGTTAATGAGTCTTAGGTATGTGCCTTTTAAGATTCCCTTAGAAATAATCATTAGTAACTGCTTGAATTGGAGGAGAAAACCCAAAGACTTGAAGCCTGGTAATTTGCAGTGAGAGCATGACATACACTACTGACACCAAAAATATTGCTACAAGGTTCCTCTATTACTCAGCACAAAGATTAAAATGGTAGTAAAAATTTAGATTTTCCCAACAATTAAGAATTTAGGAAGACATATATCAGGTAACTGCACATAAAGTGAAGATGCCATACTGTCACGGTATGGTCAACAATCTTTTTTGACTATTTGTTATTTGGTTTTGATTATTTGATGCTAATTCACAACAGATTTGATTCAAATATGATTCTCTAAGTAAAGGACATAAAAATGAAAAAACTGCTCAAAAGTGCCAAAAGAAAGATTTTTGATGAAGTTGGTAAAAAGGATTCCAAGAGATTAAAAGTAATTATATTTGCACAAACTTTTTATTCTAAAATGTAACCTCAGGGAGATTGCTTAATACAACAGAAGAGTAGTACTAGGTAGCTCAAGTCTAAGTAAGTACCTTGCCTAACACCAAACTCAATTTTGTTTTCTAAGGTGACCTTTCCTTAAAATAAAGCATTATTATGAAATAATAGCTATTGTTATGAAACTCCTTTTCTCAGCTGAATGTTAGAAACTCAGGCACCTTTAAAGGCAAATTAAATCATAAATTTTCTCAGCCATACAAAAAGATTACAGTTTCAATGCAAAAAATTGCTAGATTTCATTAAATAAGTTTTAGTCAGCAAGATTCCCCTACAAAATTTTCTGTTCATTTACTCATTTACTTAAGAACCAGAAAGTGAAATTAAGCCAAAAAAATCAAACTTGTACAAAGTGCTAGTGTTAAAGAAAAGATTAAATGATAAGAAACTGATTTATAACATTTTAAGGATTATTTAAAATGCTATTAACAAGGAAGAATTATTTTATTCATAAGGCTGGAGACAATTTTATAAGAAAAATATCCTTTTTGTATAAAGCCATCACATAGCTATATTAAAATAATCATTAGCAATCAACTTTCCTGCTATGTTTTATCTACTTTTCATCTGGAATTGTTAATATATTACTATAATTACCCCTTAAAGTCTGTCTCAGAAGTCTTGCTCAGGACTTTTTTTTTTCCCTCCCCGAATTTAAGAGTTCTGACTGATTTTTTTCAAATGTATGCATGTAAACCTCACACAGGAAAAAAATAAAAAAAGATGTACCACAGATTCTTTAATTATGCATGATCATTTCTTACAGATTCACATTTTTCTTCATCATAGTTTTCTTTAAAAAGCTTTTCCTCAACAAGAACTAAAGGGGGCTTACAAGAAAGCTGGAGAGGGACTTCTCAGGTTGCCCAGAGAAGTTGTGGATGTTCCCTCCCTGGGGCTGTGGGCAGCCTGGTTTAGTGGAGGGTGTCCCTGCCATGGGACATGGGTTGGAACTAGATGATATTTAAGGTCCCTTCCAACCCAAACCATTCTATGATTCTACCATGACATGAACAATTTTCCCTGTGCAGGGCTAAGCTTGACAGCTTTAGATAAGGTCAAATCAGATTGTAAATTTTACCTAAGAAATTGTCAAAGACAACTATTAATAAGGCCATGTTTGAACCCAAGTGTTTTTGTGTGGAAAAAGTAGTAAAACTACACACATACAAGGAACTCTAAGGAAAAGGTAACTTAGCATGGCATATGATTGAGTAAAAACTGCATTTTGTTATCAAGTATTACTTTGTGTTTTCAAGCTCAAGTATAGTACAGATTCAAGATAGTAAGATTCGATTGACTACGTTAAGTCAACAACAGTAAAAAAGTGCAATTTGGTTTCACAGATCAAGTATTTGCTCCCTGTACCTGAACATTACAGTCAGTCCTCTGAAACCGAACGCAACTGCAAATGTCCACATTCTAAGTATATGTTAAGATAATAAAGGTTATTTTCTTAGATAAAAATGTCAGTTTAATATTAGCTACAAAAGACTACATTGACAATTTTATAAAAAGACAAGTGACCCATGCAGATTAATTTCTTTTAATCTGACAAAATTTAATTATAAAAGAAATTTTAAGTAAAAATGGTATTTCACTTTTAAAAGCCTCTGTTGCTCCAGGTGCATGGTTTTTGTCTGGGTGGAATTTCAAAGCAAGTTTTCTATAAGCCTTCTTTAGGTCTTCTTCACCTGCATCCTTTGACACCCCAAGGACTTCGTAATAATTTTTACATTTCTTTATACTGCAAAAGAAAATCAAGTAAAATGTTGTCAACAAAACGATGTAAAAGTAGTATGTTAGAACACAGCTGCAAATGAGGTAATACATTGCACTGATGTAACATGTTACATCTCTCATTTTTGGTATAAAATATAAAAAAAATCCACTCTAGAAACAAAGCAAGCCATTTTTCATAATAAACTCACTATTGAGCACTCAAAATTAGTACTCAAAATTACTTCTACATACATTTATTGTACGACTTCTGCTGTAGAACTACTACAGTTGTAAGAAAAGGTTTCAATTTGCAATTACTGTAGCATTTCCTTATCCCCAATTATATGAATATTGCTGCTAATAATGCATAAAATGAAGAATCCAAATTTACTTCGCAGAGCTAGCTGGCAGGAAGGCCTGTTTTGACTGTCAACAGTGAATGCACTTTGGTGTGCGTGATATAAACCAAAACAAACTGTACCTCCCTTTTTCCAAACACAAGTCAAGTCATAATACATCCAAGCATTCACTTTTCAGGAAAATAAGGCACATGAGAATACCTCTGCTGCTGGGAATGTACCTGGATCTTAACAAACTTTCTGTTAAGTACTTATACAAAGTGAAAGAAACAATAACAGCTCCAGCAATTAGATTCAGCTCATCTCATGCATTCAATGTAGCATCTTTTAAAACTCTGAAAACGTGGAAATATTCTTCCTGTAGGCAGTCTCACCCAGAGACCTGCGAATAGCTAAATCTAGAAATTATGTAATGATTTTGTATGCTTTACAATACTCAGAAGAGAGAAAAAGCAGTTACAGCTAACAGAGAGAACATTAATTTTATGTGGGTAGGAAGAAGTGACCAAACCAGTAAATATACTTTCAAATCACAACAGGTTACTTGGGTAAGAATTCAGAAACTTAAAAAAATAAGACCAAATCACAAACTTGCATTGCAGAAATGAGGCACATTGACTTTTGGTGCATACCAAAAGAAAAGGGCTGGTCTGAACAAGAAATAGAAATCACATCCATAAATATCATAAAAGCTTTGCGTGAGTCTCTTCACATGGCTGTAACTGCCCACATTCTCTTAAATGCACAGATTTCTAGGTAAATATGGGTTTAGCGTTACAAAGACTATACGCAGGGCAGCCAAGTGGGAAAAAAAACCAAAGGGATAAGCAAGCCTTTGGCGTTTCCATGAAAGAATGGATACCCTGTAATTAAGGGAATGCTAGCATCAGAAGTACGACCACACCATCGTGCGTGGTCCTTCATAGTTCACAGATTGATCAAATCAAGTTTCATTTGAGGGATCCCTTTTCCTGTGTTCAAATAACATGAGCTTTTATGGAAGTCTCGGTGTAATGCTCACAAGAGCACTGAATTGAATGTACGCAGGCAGCTGCCAACACCAACATCCTGTGAAATAAATATTGCTCATTATATTGAAGTAACATTTAATAAGCTCCAGTTAGGAATCTGATAAAGCTAACTAAAAAGAACACAGTGAATCCATAATCAAGAAAGAATGGAAAGAAAATACATTTAATTATACTCTGAATCCTGGAAACTTTTGTTTGTTAATTTGTACAATAAGAAAAAATTTTGGTATATGCAGATCCCTTCATCTTTAACCTCAAGACCTGGATTACTTGTGAACTGTATCAAGACCAGATAGCTTTATTTAAAAGTGTAACAGTATCAAATTAAGCTTTTATTTCAAGAACTTGCTATCTCAGCATCCAATCTAAGTTCTTCTCTTTAATAATTCAGTATATGAATTATCTGTTTGTGGACCAGACTCTTCAAAACTTTGGTTGATATAAAATTAGGTAGTGAGTCATCAATGTTTAGCAAAGTTGTTATTTTATTAGCGTTAAGACTGTAGTGTTAAATGTTTGTTCAAGTGTTTTTAAGCACCATGCATCCTCAACAACTTTTTCCCCAACAGCATATGGTCATTTCTCATGGAAGTAACAAACACGAAAAAAAAGAAATCAAACATGAAAGTTTACTTCTTTGCAGATCTGACATGCATTTATTTCACAACTCTAGAACACAGAGAAGAGAAAAATGGAAAAAAAAAAAAAAAAAAAGAACAACCAAGAGATGCCAACCTGTTCTTCTAACCCTCAAAAACTCATCCCAGAGTTTTTTCCCATTCACAAGCAGTGAAAGTCCCACAGTGTGCAACCCTCATGGGAAAAGCAGGAAAAGGTATCAATCAGAAGATGTTCAGGTCAGCACATGACCCACCTGCTTCCAACACTACGATCTGCTTAGAACCACTGCATCAAACCGGAGGTACTTCCTGATGGGAAGGTGCGGGGAGAAACCTGCCTTGTGGGTCATACAGTGCTTGCCCTCCAAAGGGATGAATGCAGTCACCCTCCATGCAACAGCTATCCTGAACCTGGGCCACAAATGAGCTATTGGTACTTATCAAGAAATAAGTGTTCAGCCACGGTATAACACATTCCTACATTCTCTTAGCAAGTCTTTGCTACTGCTTTGTTAAACAAAAAAAAAAATCTACAAATACACAAGTATCTCTATTCAAATATTTCTGATTTTGTATGAAGCTATGATTTAATATTTCAAGCACATCTTATATCAAATCACCCTCATACCCTGACCTGCTATACTCCAGCCTAAACGGCCAGTCTCAAACAAAGAAGCCCTTGTGAATTTATGACGGTCACCCTTGACTTTTATTCTCCCTTGCGTGTTCTCGTCAGGATGGGCATGCTCACAGCAACACTGCCTGCAACAGACCTGAAACCAATCCTCCAGATCATTTACATTGCCCTCCTTTCTACTGCACAGGATCAGCCCTGAGATGCGTAACCCCTCTCCACTGTTTAGCCCATTGTCATCTTCAGATCTCAACCAAGTTAGTGCTGGTTATCACAAACCTCAGCAGCAAATGTAAGCTGCAAGTACTCTGCCGGATAGCCTGAGGAACACTGCTGCATGTGACTTCATGGTGTATCATGTGGAATTTGCATATACATATGGTAATTTTGCAGAGTTTAGCAGCACTTTGGATTAGGCAGATCAAGCTTTAAAGCTAAAATACATTAAATGATTGTACAAATGCACAGGAGCCAAAAACTGCACCTAAGCCTGGAATTCTCAGCAATGACCTTGTGCTACGAAGCCCTTGCTACACTCTGCCATTAGACAACAGTTTTATACGATTGCTTTGCCACTTCAAGACAAAAAGCATCTGGACTGTAAGTAGCTAGCATCTAGTTAATGCAAAGTTTCCTACAGGGAGGGAGTTAGTGACTTCTGCCAGGAGGTCCCTTACTGAGCACAATTCAGGGCAGTCATTACAGCGTAACGGCTCAATTCTTCCCCCCTCAGCAAAGTCCATGCGAGTTTTGCACCAAAACTTGTACCGCAACAGCTTTGTACTGCAGATGATGGGACAAGCAAAGGTGATTAGAAGGTGCTTTCCAATTAAGCAAAATTATCAGTGGTTGCGGGGTACTCCTGAAAGGCAAAACTTTAATGCATCACAAACTCAACCTGATAAGTCAGTTTATAGCAGGACAAACTGTACGGGATCACCAGGGCAACCCACCAGATCCTTAGGCATACACGTGCTCTGCAGTCATTTGGCTTCTCAAACACTGTTGGAGCACACACCACATCCCTCCTCCACCTTAAAGAGATGGAGATCATGGGCTTTGCACACAGATTCTCCAAGACTTAAGTCCTCTTCCTCCAAACTACCACTGTCCTGATAAAAAAAAATTCTCTCCAGCTGCTGGGAGCTGTTGGAAGCCATGGCCAACTTGACCTATGTTCCTCAGCAGAAGCAGATATTTTTGGACATATTCCTCGCTCCTTGTCTCTAGTAAATTGATGTCTGACAATCCTCACTCTGCCAGAATCCCTTGCCTGGTGCGTTGAACTGTCCTGTGGAGATTTGTCATGGGAGGGCGGATGGATGAAAGGAACCATCCCCTTCCCACTTGTCTCCTATTGCAGGCCACACAACATCGGCTAACAGAGGCTGGGAAAAACTAAGAATAAAACCAGTGGAGGTTTTGGAAAAGACCGATCACTGATGTTATTACGGCTTTTAACTGCATCTGAAACCCCTGTCCTGCAGCACTCTCAGCATGAACAACTACCATTCTGAAAGCTGTGTTTCAAATTGTTCTTTGGTTGGTTTTGCTGCACTTAAGGCACTGTAGCCCCTAGTGCTAATCTTCTTGCATATGTAAACTCCACACAGATGGAGTTTCTTTTCAAAATTGCAATTTACATATCACTTGCTTTTGGACTGACCCTTTTGTAATGAACTGGGGTTTTTTATTGTTTATTTCTGATTTATTTGAAGTTTGGTGCTTTCAGTGTTAATTTGTTTGGGGGTTTGGGTTTTGTGAATTACTTTTCTTGTGTTTTTAATTTCTGGTTGGATTACTTTCATTGGATTACTTTTGTATCTGAATTATTATCCAATTATTTCTGTTGTTTAGCTAATTTCTGTGCTTGCTGAATTGTTAGTCCCTTGCCAACACCCTGGCACTGTCCTTCTGTTTAACAGATTTGCTAGCTGTTTTAGGAGGGCACATTGCTGCATGTTCCTGAAATGATACCTGACTTTGAGAAGTCCCTTCTCTAAAACAGCATGAGGGCAAGCCATGGCCTACAGTCATCCACAATCTGTTGACAGAGGTAGCTCGTCATGACTTGCAAAGCTCCCCTGTCCCAGCTTGCAGTTGACAAGCCACCTGCAGTAGAACTGGTCAGTCAGCTTCAAACTGCAGCAACAGCCAATTCTGCCTGACGCTGGGCTTCTCTCCATGCTCTGGCAGCATTTCAGGTCCTGAAATGTCTGCTCTCACCTGCAGAAATTCTGGGTTCTCCACTGGTTCTCCTGTGACTACAAAATGATGTGATCCTAGTGCTGTGCTGCTTGTTTCACTTTTCAAATCTACAATTCAGATTAGGTCAGCATCAACAGCTTCTATCACGGTAACAAAACCTATCAGAGATGCTT